CACCCAAGTTACGTCGATATTTCTTCGCTCGACGTTTATAATAACCGTCCGGCCATGTCTCTCTTTCTCTCTCTTTCTCTCTCTTTCTCTCTCTTTCTCTCTCTTTCTCTCTCTTTCTCTCTCTTTCTCTCAGGCGTGGAACAATACTGAAGGCGCCAGTTTATATACTACCGGCAACACTTTTATGCTTGAACGCGCGACAACGTCAACGTCGCCGATAGCCCGGCACTAGCCGAGAGTGGTCTATGTATAGGTGCGACGAAGTTTAACGACAAACGAGGTTCATTATACTCGGGAAAACAAGGCCCAATGTATATACACGGTCGAAGAAAAATATAACGACATCGATCGCGCGTAACGATATATATCTTGGTACCTAGACACCACGCGGCTTTGTGTACCGGCGGATGTACGTGTGCTTTTAAAGTAAACGTCGACACATAATCACTATACACACACACACACACAAACACACATATATATATATATATATATGATATATGATACATCAGATTGCACGGAGAGCGTTCGATATCACGAGCGTTCTATTCCCTTCCTTTTCGTCGACGCGATAGAAACTAAAGTGTACATTCCCTAATCGCGATAGATACAAAGACGCACGTGCCGGTTAGAAGTGATTAATTAATTTAATCACGCCAAAACGCCGCGAAACGTTGATCAAAGAGAATTATGCAAAATATAACCAAGATAGTGTGTCACACGCGCAACCCGCTTCAGCGCTTGCGTACTCGCGTAACGCCGCGTACATACAAGGAAATTAAATTACGCGAGCAGCGTTACGTTAGATCATTTTATGCCACATTTGTCGCGCCAAAGAGACATGAATTTCACTGCGACATTTTACATCTTATGTATCCTCGTACAAGTTGCGCCCAAAAACGCAAGAAAACGTCATCCGTCAATAACGATGTTTCATCTTTCAATCATCAGAGTCTCGAAATTAGAATAAGGATATCAGAATATTCAAAGTCATAAGTAAACGATCAGATAGGACAGGCGATGTAGATGGATATCGGTTGAATCTATACATCTTTATCTCGGCCGATTGCATTGTTAGCATGAAGCGTATTGTTTGAACGTCATATCCGTGCGAGGCCTCGGGCAACCAATCAGCGTTTGCGGTAGCCGTGCCTTATCAAAGATTTCCGCCACCTAGCCGCAGGGCTTAAATCAACCTACCCTCCGATGATCCTTTCTCCAGTTTGCGAAACTCTGTCGCGAGGAGAGTGGCAAACTAGTGCTGGCAATAAGAGATCAACCCTAATTGCCAGACTTTGGGCAAGAACTCGTAATGAGCGCGCGAGGTATCGCTGTTTGCAATCTTCGAGTATATCGGACGATCGATCTGTCACGTCTTCTAACGAAAACGTGAAAAAATTAGAAATACCGATTCGCGATAACGCGCATAATTATTGTCGCGTTCGAAGATTCCCATGTGGACCCCCGACAATTTATAACAATTTAATTATCCGCGCACGATACATACACGCGTGACATTAATTAATATTCATCGATAATGGAATATTAGACAACACGTCTGTCGCGATATAACGGTGTGTTGCTCATCAAGCAATAATAAGCAACGGTAATTACTCGTTAATTGGATGACGCCACGTTTTAATAACCATTTCGCAATATGGAAACGCGCGACAAGTCGGTGACAGGTCGGTGTGCGAAAATCCTTGGGACATTCATAAACGACGATTATGCGGAAATATCATTCCAACCGTTGCGCGTTGTTAAAAAAAAAAAAAAAGGGAAAAGAATGAATATAACTTGAGCTGACAAGAGACAAAATTACATTGTATCGAGATACATTTGCATCGTCCGTATACATTGTTGACCATCGCATTTATACATATATCCACGTTACGATCTTGGAAGTAACTCGGTGACTTTAACGTAAATCTCTCGCACAAGGTCGCCTTTAATGTCATATCCGGCGGTCGCCTCGTCAACGGACGTTCGGTAAATTGATGACGTAATTACGGGTCTCTGCTTGCTCACGAGCTTACCTGTCTTACGGAATAGCTCGTAACGGCCGATTGGAACCCATATCGTTTTACCAACGAAAATACGTATAGGAACACGTACGTAACGAGTCGTGCTAGCGACGTGTTGCTCTACAGCTGTCGAACATCCGCCGGTGTACGTGTAACTACCCTCCAAACGACGCAACGCGCGGGCAAGTGTATATGTGTGTAAATGTGTGTGTGTGTGTGTGTG